AATATGTTTAAGTCCTCATCAAGTCAGCTGATGCAAATCGATTCAAGTCGCAAGTCATCGGCGTTCAAGTCTGAGTGAAGTCGTAAGTCTTTATAGATTTCATCAAGTCAAGTCAGAAGTCATTAAAATAATGACTCGAGTCCAAGTCATGTGACTCGAGTCCACACCTCTGCAAATCAGTTTATCTATTGCAGCTGTTTTGCTCCATGATGTTCCTGTTTCAAAAGGACTTGATCGTCGTCCAACCATAACGATGACCTTTGTCGTCAGATCAGATTTCGTGTATTGGATTTGAAGCAACAAAATGAGTCCTGAGACCACCAGACAAAAGATTTAATTTCACTACTGTTCTTGCTTGTTTTATTTGCAGCTTTAGTTTTAGCAAAAGAAAAAGATCAAGGTTTGGGCTAAAACACAGTTTCATAACATGGCTAAAGCTATTTCGTCATTTCAGTCAGTTTGAAGTTTTGTGCAACCGCAGAGCATTCTACATGCCTTTCATTCACACAATTGCACTTTGCGGAATAAAATGTATCCAGATTGCTGTTAAGATGCTGTTTCAGGCACGCATGTGTTTTGGTCAGATTTAGGGGAGGGTTTCTCATTATGACTGAAGGTTGGTATCGACTGACATCAATCAGCCGTACGATCTGCTGAATTAATGATTTATAGTGGTGGTGTCCAGTCCTTGTCCGTGAGAGTCACTGTCCTGCATGTTTCAGATGCTTCTCTGCTTCAGCACACCTGATTTGAATCAATTAGTGATTATCAGGCTTCTACAGAGCATTACACCATTGTGCCAGGTGTGCTGGAGCAGGAAACCAATTAAAACATGCAGGATAGTGGCCACCATGAAGGACCACTGCCAGTTTCACTCAGCGAAGATGGATTTAGGCCTAGTCCACACGTAGCCGGGGTTTTTTGAAAATGAATATCCGCCCCTCCAAAAACTTGCATCCACACCACCGCGTTTTAAAAACAAACTCTGTCCACACGTACCCGGATAAATACGTTGTTAAGGACATGCCAGACCTGTAGGTGGCAGTACTTCCCCCGTTCTTAACCTCGTCCTTCGTCTGTGGTCTTCCGCAAGGAGCAGTAATTCTGCTTGCAAAAACAAACAAGCAGAAAGCGCTTGGACAGTTGATGGATCGGGTAGTGACAGAGCGCAGCTCCGAAGGCTTCCATGATGTCGGCTAGTGTAAACACAGGTCGCACACGTGATGTCAGCATTTTTTGTCGCGGAAAGTGACGTTGCGGACCTTAAAACTCCGGTTTTGTCCGTCCACACGCAGACACCCAAAACGGAGAAAACGCAGATCTTCACTTTGGCCGGAGTTTTTAAAAAGATCCGTTTTTGTGTGAAAAAACTCCGTTTCCGTGTGGATGACAGGCCAAAACGTAGAAAAATATCTACGTTTTGGCAGATCCCCGGCTACGTGGGGACAGGGCCTTATAAAACCAAAGAGTTTGTTGCCATCTGATATGAATCTGCACCATGGCTTAATGCTGATTGGTTGAACATTTGTTAAAAAATATATAATTATACAAAACAGTTATTTAAAAGGTGCGGTTGACTGGAAAAACATTTTTAATGTTTTTTTTCTGATTACAGTTGGTCACTCTGAGCTTGTCATGCAGGCTGAACATGAAAATAGTTTCCTACACCTATATGCATTAGCTTCTGATAGAAAATAAGACAACAAAAATCTAGAATTTTTAAATTCTCACAAGTCAGTGGGAGAGTCGCATTGCTGTTATCCAGTCAGAATCAGGATATCCAGATAAGAGGAAAAAACACTCCAAAACCTGCCATCTGGAGCTCAGCTGTGATGTGGGAAACTTTTAGGTCAGAGAAATGGATCACCAGTATATTTTACCCCCCGAGAACGACTTACAAGGCATTCATTCCTACATAGTATTTAATTTGTTTAACCAACCACTCCTTTAAAATAAAATTAAAATCCTAATTATATACACATGTATATATATATATATATATATATATATATATATATATATATATATATATATATACATATATATATATGTATGTATGTATGTATGTATGTATATATATATATATATATATATATATATATATATACATACATATATATTTATATACATACATATATATATATATATATATATATATATATATATATACATGTATATATGTATATATGTATGTATATATATATATATATATATACATACATACATATATACATATATATATATGTATATATATATGTATGTATATATATATATATATATATATATATATATATACATACATATATACATATATACATGTATATATATATATATATATATATATATATATATATATATATATATAGTGATAAATAATTTCCATCTTGCGTTTTATGACAAATGGTCAAAAACCTTATAATAATAACATATTATAATACTAATTCTACTACTACTGCTACCACTACTACTGCCACTACTACTACTACTACTAATAAAACATTTTGCAATTAAAATTTAAAAAATATGTTTCTTCCCCATCATTTTTATTCACTTTGATTTGTCTAAAACCGGCGCTCCTAATCAAAACACAAAAAGCACAGCTGATTAATTATATTTATTTTTCTTTAAAAAAGTTAATGAACAATTGTAATTAATTGCGGCTGATGACAAAACAAAACAAAACAAAAAAAAATTTCCCCATCACAACTTCCAAGCTGGATGCCACATAATCAGCACATTGTTCCACATGACGCAGTGGCAGCTTTAATGTGGAAAACAATTCTGACTCAAATGGCATTTTAGAAGATTAGAAAACGTAAAAAATGATGTGTGAGAGTGCAGAATGGGAACTTGTGAACACGTCTGTTTTCATCTGCTTTTCTGTCTGTAGCCAAGAGGCTGAATTGTTTAATTCCTGATGCGGGCTGTCGTGCAGCAATGATGAAATATCGCCAAGGTTACACAAACTTTTGTGGTCAGACAGCATCTCTGAAACTCCCTCATGCCACACTGTAAAACCAACTCTTTCACCACAATTCAGTCACTTGCATAATGCACTGTGACAGTCCAGAATTATGAGAGGAGCACAAACGTGATCACGTGAGGCAGAAAAACTGTTTGTGTTGTCTTGCTTGCCTAAGGGGGCTGAAGAAGTTAAAAGAGAGTTTTAAAATAAAATCAACAGCAGGAAGGAGAAGTGAGTGACAGAATAAAAATGATTAATTTCAAATAAGGGGATATTTGCTGTGCTGAAGTATCTGAATCTCAAGACATTTAAACGTTTAAAGGTGCAGCGTGTAAGAATAAAGTAAGGTTTCAACAGTGAAATAATTCCAAAACTGTCTAATGTCTCGATCATGTTGGAAGGAAGGTTACACAGATTTCATTCTCAGCCAGCTGCAGCGATAGTCAGTTTTTTTCTTTTCAAAATAATGGAAAGAGGGTCATTAATACTGTTTTTACCATCAGTAAGTGTGAGGTTGTTGCGTCTCCTGCAAGCTCACGCTACAGCGCCTGCATTTGTAACTCAATCATGGCAGGAAAAATTCCAGAGTTGTTTAAAGAATCAAAGCCAAGAGCAACCCAAAAGTTATTTCTTGTACCCCTAAGAAGCCACAGCATCTTTTTTGTTTTAATCTAATATCAGGTGAAGAAGGCTAGTGGCTAACACTGAGCTAGCAATGCTAACAGTGAATTAGATGCAAATAGTCAGCTCTAAAAATATCTAAATCTACTTTTTCAATTACCAACAACTGTGAAGTGAACAGTGTATGTGTGAAATGAACAATGAGTCAAACATGAAATTTTACTTCCTCAAATGAGTCGTTCAGTGCTATAGTAGCAAGCTAACAGCCAGACGGTAAATACAACACTTCTATACCGGTCGCATATTACCGTAATTAGTGTAGTAAGTACTCCTTGCCATTAAACACCCAATTGTGCTAGCACCAGATAAGACAATGTATTTATATACTTATCAACTTATACTGTCTGACTTGTCTCTGCTTGGCATCTAGAATCTTCTGGTGCTGAACTGGCGACAGCCACGAAACACACAAAACAGGAGAGAGACAGATTGCAGTAACCAAATTTGTCCGTAGGATGTCACCTTACTCCGTTTTTACACACTGAACCTTTAATGACTCAGCTTGAGAGAGAGAACCTGAGAGATAACCATTTAGCCTGTCGGAACTGTCCGGGTAATTCATCTGGACATTTGTTGTATGCTCGTGAAACTTTTCACTAGGCCAGCCCGAAAGGGCCCCCTTCGGGGCTATATGTAAAGTGAAGCAGAATGAAATAAAAATAAAATACGCAATGTTTATGCTGATTTAAATTCACCATTTCTTAAATGAAAACACACAAAAATGTGATGGGAATTCCTTGACAACGTCGTAGTTTACAGAGGTTTGTGATCTACAGAGCTCCTTAAAAACTGCACGTTTCTGTCATTGACCACCACTTTCACATCACAAAGTCACTCTCCTCGTCTCCCGAATGGATTAAAATACGATTTATTTTGACAGAATAAAATTTGTAATGTTTGTGGCCACCTTCTGTTGCTGTTTGCAGCTGCAATGTCTGAGTTACGCTGATGTCTTAGCAAAGACCTGAGATGGACGATTCTGTATGGAGACACAATGGCTGGAGAACAAACATTAATTCTCCCGATCACTTCTCTCACTTCCAGAAATTTCCTGGAACTCAACAGTGGAAAAACGCCTTTTAAGCCACATCAAAAGGGCTCAGTTCACCCTGAGTCGTTATATCTTCATGTAAGTGACTTTGTAAACATTGAGCAGGACTACCTGAGCTTCCCGAGTCACCTGCTCACGACAGAGCTGACCTGCTGCTTCGATTTTAGCAAAATGCAGAGGCGGGCAATAACTTCTGACATCACGGAGAGTCCGTCAGCAGCAGAGTACAGAATGATCTTGAAGTCTGATTGGTCTCTTCTGACTAACGTTTACTTTATTATGTTTTCTACATCCAACATGTGACATACATCACTCACTATCCAAACAGCAAGCCTCTGTTTGTCAACCATATAGCTGCTGCCTTCACCACATGCTGTGCAGGGAGGGACAGCTCTGATAACAGGTTGCCTCCTTCTCCTCGTGTCTCACGGTTTACGAGACATTGGAGAAGAGGCGCCGGGCATGGAAAACTAAATGCGATTAAATGGCCTACAATCAAGCATGCTTGCCGAAACCGCCTGTGACAGTCATGGTGCAAAAAGGCCAGCTGTTACCGGGGAAACCATGTTTGGCGAATAAGGGAGATAAACTGGGGCAGCATCTCTTTAATAATGATTTCTATTATTTGCACTGCATGTTTAGATTATCATGTAAATAAGGGCAGCCGAAGCCTGGAGAATAGAGGAGATCAAACAAAAACAACGGAGCAGTCGCCACATGGTGGTGGTCTGACGAGACACTCGCAGTGGAGGTGAGCCGCAATTACCTTTTGTTTCTTTGAAGCCTGTTGGAAATGGGAAGCTCATGAAAGTGGAATTTATAGACTGACACATCTCCACCACAGACGAGAGAGGGGGAAGTTTGCAGGTTGCTTCAGTTGGTGTTACTTCTTTAGTTTCTACACGTTCTCCTGAGTCGGGCTAGAACAACACTTCCTCTTCCTGTTTGATTGGACTATAAGAGCTGAACTTCTGTCACAACCGTTACCTGTTCACTCGATGCAGCTCCATACGTGAAAAGGTAAGAACACAGGGACTTAAAATATATTTAGTTATTTCCTTTTCTCACACGTGCTTATATTTTGCCCCTTCCCATAAGAAAATGCAGAACGGACAGTTAAAAACTTTGTGAAGTAATTTCTGTGTTTGTAGTGAACTTAGAACCTGTTTTATATTTAAATGAGGGTCATCATTTTCACAGCATGCCCACTATTTGTGTATGTAGTAACAAAATGGTCTGGAAGCTAAAGATAAAAGCATCACTGCCGTATATTTACAGCAGGGAGCATGCAATAACGCTGTATTAGGTTTGTGTACACACCCATAAGCTCATTAAGAAATAATTCACCCCTCTAATATAGTTTGAGGTGCTGATAAGGAAATATATTTAAAAAGTACACTGCAAAAAATTACGTCTAAGAAAGTAAAAATCTTCTTTATTAGACATTTTATCTTATTTTTAGTCTAAAGAGAAAATAAATTCTTCTCAAGAAAATTACATTCCTTAAATTAAATATTTTAAAATATGATGTAAACTTTCTGGTTTTGAGTGAAGAAATCTGCCAGTGGGGTCACAAATGTAGCTTATCTAGAAATCCTAAAACTAGCAAAATAGCCAAATTTTAGGTTTAGTACCACAGTCATCGTCACACATTGGTGAAATTAGGGTTAGGTAACTTTTGCGTACTCCATTGGCACATTTCTTTATTCAAAATAAGAAAATTTGGATCACATTTAAGAAAATGTACCTTATTTTCAGTAAAATTATTTTTCTAGAGAAGAATTTATTTTCTTTTAGAATAAAAATGAGATAAAATCTCGAAAAAATTAGGCTTTGTTTTCTTAGAAATCAGTTTTTGCAGTGTAGGCCATTTATTTTAGATGTTTTATATCTCTATACCTACATACACCTTATTAATGCATGAACAACACAACCTTTTCAGTGTGAAAATCCCTTTTTCTTCTCTTCTTGGCAGAGCTCTGGAGGAAACGTTGAGTGCTCGGTTGTCGGTGGGGACAGGAAAACCACGTTGTCTTGTTGGATTTTGTTCCAGGCCACTGGCTCAATAAGGACTCGTCGTGTATTGTGGTTCAAACGGCGTGACAGATCAAACCTCCCTTCGCTGCCGTCTATTCGCCTCATGGTGGGAGTCAAGGACACGATGTGACACGTCTCAATCCCTGACAGATCAGAGCGGTTAACACCAAAAGCAACATGCAGGAGTGTCATACTGGCTTGTGCCTCTCTGTCTACATCATCACCTTCGTGTTGGGCTTCCCGACAAACATCCTGGCCTTCTACACCTTTTTGAAGAAAGTGAGGCAGAGACCCACGCCGATTGACATCCTTCTCCTCAACCTGACCATATCTGACCTCCTCTTCCTCCTGTTTTTGCCCTTCAAGATGCAGGAGGCCATGGACGACATGAAGTGGAATATGCCTTATGCTCTCTGCCCGCTGTCTGGCTTTGTCTTCTACATGACCATCTACAACAGCACCTTCTTCCTCACTGCTGTCAGCGTGGAGCGCTACTTGGGGGTAGCTTTTCCCATCAAACACAGCCTGAAGCGCAAGCCGGTGTACGCTGTTGCTGCTAGCATCTTCTTCTGGATTTTCTCCTTCCTTCATTTAAGCATCGTCTTCATAGTTCCGTTTATTAGACAAGAAAACCTCCCAAATACCACCGACTCTGTTGGCGAAGTGAAAAGGGACGTGTGTTATGAAAACTTCACCAAAGCTCAGCTGGAGGTTGTACTCCCGGTGCGTCTTGAGCTCTGTTTGGTTCTCTTTTGCATCCCTTTCCTCATTTCCAGCTTCTGCTATATCAACTTCATCCGGATTCTGTCAAAGCTGCAGCACATCGACCGGCGCCGGCGCCTCCGAGCCATCGGCATGGCTCTGGGAACGCTGGTGGTTTTTGCTTTATGCTTTGGCCCCTATAACGTCTCACACATCGTGGGATTCATCACAAAACGGAGTCCCGACTGGAGAGACAAAGCTCTGTTGTGCAGCACCTTCAACACCTGTCTGGACCCTTTTATTTTCTACTTTTCATCCTCCGCGGTGAGAGGAACCGTCGGGAGTTTGATGGAAGGGGTTAAAAGCCGCCTCGGCAGGTGCCTGTCCTGTCACATGTTCCAGGCTTACAGGGGGGGAATTAACAAGACTCCAAGAGATAAGGAACACAAACAAGCGCAGATCAATACTATCTGAGTTGACGGGCAGAGAACTGGGAGCAGCAGCCTCTGCTAATTTCTTCATCTCTGCTAGCAGGAAATTAATCCCATGTTTATGTTTTTACACACATGAAAATGGCCTGGCTGTAAACATGGCGGCATGTTTTGTTAGAATCTCTGATGAACTTCTGAATCCGAGGCAATCGTCTGTTTGCCCGAGTGAGCCACGTTGTCTTTTCTTACTTTTATTGCAAAGCTGCAGAGACGGGCTGCCTTGAACTGTTACATGAAATAATAGAAGCTTTTTTTTTTTTTTTTGCATTAAGCAGCAGGATTTCACCATAACTCCCATAATGCAGTTTGGTGTTGTAGAGACGTACCAATGAGATGTCAACAAAACAACACCTAAGCTGTGGATTTAGACGTTTTTCCCTCACCAGAAAAGGAGATCCTATCTACGCCAGCCTTAATCGCGTATGTGCACGTACATGCACCTGTGTGTCAGTTTGCAGCAGCATGCTTGTTACATGTAAGCATCTAGGCATCACATCTTTATCAAATAATATGTTGGAAATATATGCATTTTGTACGTTTTCATTCTGGTGAACCACTGTAATTTTATTTATGCTGTCAAAGCAAATAGAAATGTTATTTTCATACACAAATAGAAATTTTAAATAATTAATGACTCTGTGTTTTCTTCAGAAACCAGTCTGATAAATGAAGTGTGTGTTCTTCGGGACTACGTGGCAAAAGGAGGAAGTTCCGATGCACAAATAACCCCCCTTAACTGTAAATTAAAAGGATTAATAACCGTGCCAGGAACAGAACTCAGCCAAAGGTTCTTGTTTGAAGAAAGTAAACAGAAAAAGACTAATTTTCTTTTGAAAGAATGACTGACGAAGGCTCTTTGTTCACTCCAATGTCGTCATCAGATCAGTCAGGTTGTGTAAGATTCAAAGGTTCGAATTAATAAAAAGGATTATAGGTGAGTAATCGAAACTTTACTGAGCACCATTCCAGCTTGTTTTCCACGTCACTAATCTGGTTCCACTATAAATCCATTTGAATGCTCACATTCACACATACGCATCATTTCTGGCATTGGTGTTTGTGGTCAGAGCTAAATTTAAAATAACTTCCCACAGCTCAGAAATCGAGATCTCACTCAGGGTGCTGTAAGCACAAACATGAGCGCGCACGGATGTCTGTGATCTGTAAAGATTACGCCTGTGGTGGTTCAGCTAATCGTTGCATCTTTTTGAGAAGTGGATGGTAATGAATTTTTTTCTGTTGTGGACACAAAAAACCGTGAATGACTAGGATGAGCAGGCTACCAGCCGCTGATGAACAAATCATCAAGCAGCTGTCACTGTCAGCATGCTGCAGTGATGAACCGGGACAAATAAGCAGCTTTGATGTGCGGGAGGAAATGGATCAGGATGTACAGAGCAGGAAGGCAAAATAACGAGTAAGAATCTGAAGGCAAACATACAGAAACATGAGGGAGGAATCTTGTTTATGTTTTCACAGAATTTCTCCCGACTGAAATTTGTTTGTTGGCTCGAGCAGCAGCCCTAGAAAAACAACACTCCTTTCCTATTTCATTTTATGCTTCCTGAGATACCGTAATTGGTTACTGCATCAGTTTTGATAAGTAACGGTGATAAGACCAAAAGGAAAACACCCGTGTGTGTATGTGTGTGTGTGTGTGTGTGAGAGAGAGAAAGCATGTCGAAGTGAGCGTGAGGGCACACGTGTGTGTGTTTGCCAAAGGCAGAGAGAAACGTCCTCACACAACAAGCTTTCTTCCAGTTGCACCCGGATGTGTTTGACTGCTACGAAGAAACACAAATCAAACACACTTTTTAATAGCTTCCTGTAAAACCTACGCAAGAGGTTTACGGTCAGCCTGTCCAGTAAAACCAGAAGTCACGGCAGAGAGAAAACCCCGCTGGAGGATGCTCAGATGTTTGAAGCATCTGAAAAGTGGAACATAAGAAAAAACACCCTCAATTTTTCTTTTTTTTTCCCTCGGAAAAAAACACAAAATTCAAAAATATATATATTTTTTATAGTTTAGACTGACAGGAACAACTCATTAATTGTTCCAGTTAGGCTGTATTTCAACATCTGATCCATACTAACAGTAAATAAAAGCAGAAAACAAAATACAGCAGGGCTCCATCAGCTGGGGGCTCAGGCAGGCTGCCAACAGTAGTTGTTGGTTGGGAGGGTGCAACTGGCATCTGGCAGGTGATCGATACAAGCTGCAGCACTTTTGTGGGTCCAGGTGAGTGTGACCTTACTTGGGTGGAATCCTCCAGTGAGACAAATGTGATCAGGGTAGTTTGGAGGATTGATTTTGGAGCTAAGGTAAGGCTAGGATTAAAGGAAAAGGACAAAATGAAAATCGTGTCGGATTTGCCTCCTAAAATAACGATGAAGAATATTTGTTAAATATGCATGGAACAAAATGTGATAAAAAGAGAAATGCAAGGGTAAACAAAAAAAAATCGTTATCGGGGCCATGTTTTTAAACTGTAGTCATTTCAGATGTGCAGTAGATTGCAGAAAGCTTAAAGAGGTCCTTCACTGAGTTCGACTTACAAGGCATTCATTCCTACTATAGACCACTGCAAAAGTATTAAAGTGGCAGTGTGTAGTTTCATGGCACTAGGGGGCAGTGTATACCTTTCAGGGTAGTTTCACACCTGTGAAGCAGAAAGCATGGGACCTCAGCGTGACTCGTCAGAATTTGATGGTCCTTCAGTTAATGACTTCGCGAGAATGTAATGCCGATTTTAGTTTTCCGGCAATGTACTTTTCAGATCACTCAGGGTCCTGCGCCTGCCGATGACATCATCATACTACAGCATACTATGCATATCTTTTTTGATTCTCTTCCATATATTTTATAAAGTGTTTAGCAGTTTTGTTATTAAATTTGTGTTTCTTACTGCCTAAATATTTTTGAAAGTGATAACGTAACGTCTGTAAGTTGTACGTCCAGCCAATCATCTAGTGTGATGTCATTGACAGGCGCAGGATCCCGGACCAGCCAGAAGGAAACATGGCATCTAATATGGGTGTTTCTCAATATCAAGGCACCTGACCTGCAAGGCAACGTCTTTCAAGGCCAGCCTTTTACTTTTTAAATTGTGTATATATTGGTTAAATTAAATATGTAAGCGAGCTACTAAGCAACTAACCAACCCTAGATAGCTGCTTTGGATAAAAATAAAACATTTTTGATATCAACCTGATAGCTACAATTAGTTGACTTACATTCAAACTTGAAATTTGCCCCTGAAGTAGCTGCATGGCTCCTGATCCGCCATTCATTTGAAAATACTGCGGTGTATTCTGGGAATTTTTTGACCAAAGCTAGGCTAAATGATAAATGATAAATGGCCCACACTTGTATAGCGCCTCTCAGAGTAAGGACTCTAAAGCGCTTTACACTACAGTGTATCATTCATCCATTCACACACACATTCACACACTGATGGTGATGAGCTACCATGTAGCCACAGCTGCCCTGGGGCAGACTGACAGAGGCGAGGTGAGGCAGACGCTACAAGGCACTTCCCGCCTCGGTAGAACGTGAACATTGGAACATGCCTTGGTGGGTCCTGCTGATGTATCTCCTGGGCAACCCGGGGTGGGACCAAGGCATCAAGGCGAAGTTCCTTGGAACCATTGAGAAACACCCATGGTGTCCCCCAAAGACGCCCTATTTAGACCTGATTGTTATGGTTATATGGTACCAAGTTGTCAACATTTTTCTACAACAACAACGTTTCAATGGATATTTCCAGAGATTAATGGTAAAAACTACACATTTTTTCTCTTTAAAAATATGAGTGGAGCTTCTTTAACTGACAGAAAATAAACTCAAAACAACAAATTAATTCATGTGAAAAATAGACATTCGAAAGTTTATTTTTGAAAGCACAAATATGTGGAATATCAGAGGCTATTTGGCAAAGGTAACATTGCATTCAGGGGAAATCGAAAGAAAGCTTTTTATGAGGGATTTCCACATAATAATTTGGCCATCCCTCCCTGCCTTGTTTTCTGGTGAGTTTCAATTCCCTGGGCAAGATCAATACAAGGCTTGCGAATCGTGGTGGGGTGATTATTTCTAGATCTGTCAAGAAGCTGCTCAGGCAAAAAGATGAACTCAAAGGGAATTTCACGACTTGAATTTTTATAGATTGAGCCTGGCCATTCATTCTACGGTGATGCATGGAGTACACACTGTGGCTCTGCTACACCCAGGATACAAATGAGACATAATTACCTGCATGGCAACATCTCTCAAATGGAGAGAAACCTAATAAATTGTGGGCATGTTCATTTCTGAAACCAGCTATTTGTTTCTCACCAAAGACAAACAGCTTGGTGCCGTTTCTCTTCTCTGGGTCTTTCTGAGGGACGTTCACCTCGGAGTATACCAGAATCCTTCAGTGTTACCTTAGTGATCACCAGAGAGGAGGTTTGCTTCTCCTTCACAAAGATCTGCCTCGGAGGCTTTGGGATGAGCAGCTCTCTCGGCTTCTCTTTGAACCGCTGAACCCCGTACTTCTGGGACTCATCTTGAAAATGACAGGACAGGGTGGCCTTTATGACAGTGAGAGATGGAGGATATTGTTGAACCCTCAGTCCCTTTGGTGTTGCTGTCAAGCCTAAAGTCAGACCCATTAATACAATGTGTTATACAAGGTACTTTGACAACAAAAACTTTGAATATGTGTCCAGAAAGCGTGGATGGAGGTCGAATTGGGATTTGTCATGTTTGCAAGTTGGTGGGCGGGAGTTCCCTTTGGGCCACACATATCAAAATCAATCTAAAAGGTGTTTGTAATAAAATGCACTGCTTCTCTCTTGTTTTGCAACTTAAAAAACTATAACAATGCTGTCCAATACCTTTTAATCATTATTATTGTATGTCTCTTACCCTTTGTTGAAGGATTTTCAGGTGGCAAGGGTCAATTTTATTTCTTTGCTAATTTTCTGTTGTTATACAATAAAATGTAAGCTGTTATAGTACAAAAAAGTTTCAAGCTCATTTGTTTCCCAGATTTGCTAATAAAGCTTTAAGCTGCTGTCTAGTTATAAAATTAACATTAGCTCCGCTTTTAAAATGGGATTTATGTATTTTACTATATAAGCATGACCTGTGGCTACACACACACACACACACACACACACACACACACACACACACACACACACACACACACACACACACACACACACACACACACACACACACACACACACACACACACACACACACACACACACACACCAAATGACGCTTTGCACAGCTAAATTAAAATCACAATCAATTGTTGTTTACATTCAACAGCAATGTTTTTCTCACCAAAAAAAATCCATTTATCGACTTTTCCAGCTCAGGATAAATCACAAAATTGATAGGATTTAGCCTCAAGGGAAAAACGCAAAAATAGATAAACAATTATGAACTTGGAAGATGAAATTCCATGAAATCAATAGAAGTTTGGATGTAATTATTTAAAATCAATGTATCATAAAATGGCAATTAAAACATTTATATCGCAAGCTAAATTAATATTTTTTGTCATTACTCATTCCATCAAATCAATTTTATATTGTAAATGGTAAATTTAACGTGTTCTTGTGGTGATTTGATAAATAATCAGTGTTTCAGATAGAAAACTACTGATGTGTTTTCAGACTTATGTGTTATTTTTCGTGCAAACAATAGAAAACAGCTGAGATCTAATTCACTCGAAGCTGAAAATGTTCTCTCAGGTTCACTTTCATTTGAAGCGTTGTGAGCCCTACATTGTGATGATCTCAGCTGTTTCATCTCACCAGACACACAATGGTAAGATGTTAAGGTTCATTAAAGGGTCGTGTCTCAGCACAAACCTAAATCCTAGTAACCGAGAGGCTTTTAAAAAACTACATACGTCAGTGTCTACAAAGCCAATAGGTGCTTTGTCTGCAGGCGGCCAGAAACCACATCACTATGTTAGACATGATGTGGTTCTACAGCATTATTTAGCATCTTGATCAATGCTGATACTTTAAGACCTTAAGTCTTACTTTACTTACTGGATTTCTTTATAGGGCAGAATGTAAAGCAGCATTTACGTTGCAGCTTGGTTCAAATGAAGCAAACCAAAAAGTCAGAGCCGCGTCTGAGCTGCTTTCTATGTAATTTAGTTTGTTCTGAGAACAGCTGGTTTATTACATAATAAACAAGCCACACCTCTTTACATCTGCATGTTCCAACCAAGGGCAGCCTTTGTCTGAATATTCTGAAGCCAATCCGGAAAAGACAAAAAAATTGCAGTTCTCCCCTCATCTACTGGGGGCTGGCACCAGAAACGAGTAAAAATGCCAACTTCACAGCAGAAATAAACATGTTTACAGCCTGGTTCACAAAACCATTTTAGGCTTAATAGGTCTAGTCCAGGGGTATTCAAACCCGGGCCTGGAGATCCCACCACATTTTAGTGGTGGGATCTCCAGGGCTCTACCACCTGAGCTACTGCTGCCCTGTCTTGGCGGTGGCCATGGGTTGCTGCCTAGCGGCTGCATTGCCCCTGAGTAGGTCTGGGTGGGGGCCTGGGGCTCAGGGTGTGGGGGTGGCCGGCCCCATGTGGGGATCTGGGCGGGGCCTTGGGGGTCGGGTCCTGACATGTACGCTGCCGGGAAGAAGGCGGGAACATGCGGCAGTGCCTGGTCCAGGCTCAGAGGCATCAGGTAGACCTTGGCTCCTCTGCTGTCCCATCACGGGGGAGGGGGATGTCCAGGAGGGGGACGACCCAAGCTCACATGGATGTTCTATGTTTGATATATTCTAGAAGCTGTACAAACGCAGGGATGGGAGTAGATATTCTGCTGGGGTGGGGCTGCGTTGGTTCCCTCGGACTCCATGGAGCTCTGTGATGCTGCTGCTTTGGGCCCGGGTAAGATGGGGTATAGTCTCCATGCCCTGGGTGGCATTTTGGCAGCGGAGGTGCCTATTGGGGCCAGTGGGGGAGCTGGCTCTCTGGAGGGCTTAGGCCAACCAGCCATTCCTCCCCATCCCCACACATTTTTCTCTTCCTGCTCCCTCACATCATCACACAAACACGCACATAGGACCTTGCGGGGTGGACAAGTCAGGGCGTGCGGGTATGGACCCCATTCCCGCATTCCTGTGGCAGCCTGCCCCCTAATATTATTTGCACATTAAACACTTCCACCAACGACATTCCACGCAAACACACCCTTAGGGCATTGGGAGTGAGCACATTCAACGGTATTTGGCAAGGGCATTTCTCAGTCTCATCCCAAGTGCCGGTGCCCACTTCCAGTTTTAAACTGTGCTTCGACACAGAGGGCTGTGGGTGCAAGTGGGGTGGTGTGGTGGCATCAGCTGGCATAGGCCAGACGATGCCTGCACTGCCTGCTCACCACAGCCACGAATACACCTCATCATTACGCACCAGCACAGTATTGGAGCAGGCGGCGGGAGACTAGAGGTCTTTGCACACCTCTGTTGTTGCTTGGCTTCTGGGGGCTGGAGGCTAGGAGGGGGATCTGGCCATCTGGCTGGGGTCTGGGTTGGTGGGTCACTTTGCTCAGCGTTGGGCGGGGGAGCCTGCTCATCAGCACCCCAGCAGAAAGGGTCGAACGTGTTATTGGAGCCTGTGGAAACCCATTGTCCAATATTTATATGTCGATGCACCTACTGAACCCCTGATCAGAAAAACGCTGCATGCTTCCCTGTTTGGAACCCAGAATGAGCTAATATTTTCCCAAACCTGTGTTCTCCTTTTGACTTTTTCATGTGCTACAGCAGTGAATATAAATGCCCCGAGCCATCTAATGAGCTCCAGTATGATAAATTCAAATATGTGTTCTCTGAGAAGGAGGGGGAAAAAACCCCTGGAAATCTCAGTCATCAAATCTGGGAACTTTGTTTCAAGTTGGGGGAAAAGTTCTCTGCTTAGGTATTAATTTGCTTAATTGAAGGAAAAAGGTTTGGTTCTAAAAAGTACCGTAATTATGGTGATTTAAAGGAGCCTTGCTTTGCTGCTTGAAAGTCAATGATGTTTAAAATTGATAAAAGACGGCGAGTTTGAGTGCCAAAAATACAAACTCTTTGCTAAATAAACACAATACAGACACAATTTGTTTAAAATGTGTTTAGGTTTCCGCTGAATAGTGCTCCATTATTTTGGCGAGCAGAAAACAGCTGCTAAGTAAATGATAATTACAAAAAACAACAACAGGAAATGATGATCGAAAGCATTGCATTTTTCCAGTACTCACAATTAGGTGACAAAGCAAAAGAATTATGCACAAACGGAAGCCACGTTGCTCATCATATTTCATTTGAATTTTAAATGATGATTTCTTACCACAGTGTTCTTTCTCATTCAAATTTTACCAATGTCGAGAAATTCTTTTAGTGATACGGTTATAAAAATAAACTAGAATTGAAATAAAATTCTTTAATTTGAGAAGTGAGAATAATTTGTACTGTAAAATTTCATGAACCCAACATTTGTCACACATTTAAATGTATTTAAGTTCCGTCGTAGTCTTCAGTAAACTGTAAAAATAAAAAGAAAGTCTTGTATTACTTATCATTTTAATTGCGTGCTTCACTTAAAATGTAAACCAAGATCACCATATGCTGAGGAATAATAAAATTGTGGCCATTTTTCTGCTATTTAAGGTTGATTTAAGGTTATTTAAAGTTATAAGTGCATGGAGCATGTGTTAAAGATTACTCTTAACTGCTATGACATCAGAGTTTAGATTTATATCTGTTTGTTATGAACTGACGTCACAATAAAATGACGGTGTAAGGCTCCACCTATTTACTATCTGTCACAAATGAATGAGCTTACCACTTGATAGAGGTGCAGTCATCCGTCAGAAAGAAGACTATGTCTGATTTCTTATTTATCCTCACTCAAGTTCTAGTGCCATAACACAGCGCAAAGCAACTCTGCCAACAGAAATGTACATTGAGTGTTAATCAATGTCAAGGCACCTGGCCTTGCACGGCGATGTCTTGTGAGGCCAGGCGCCTTGCATACAAGGACACTGTCCTTCATTGGTAAAAAAAAACAAAAAACAAAAAACAAAAAAAAAAAAAACGGTTAAATGGAGCAGACTTGCATCATGTGACCACAGCTTCCGTTGTTCATTTAAACTAGAAAATTGCCCTCGAAGTAGCTGCTAGCTCTGATCCGCCATCCTTTAGAAAATACTGCGCTGTATTCTGGGAAATTTTTGACCAAGCCTAGGCTACAAGATACCTCCCATGTATCCTTGCTCAGCTAGCTAAACGGCTGACAAAGGGAGAACAGACGCCTCAGTAGATTATTGGAACACGCCTGGGTGGTTCCTGATGACATATCTCCTCGGCAACCGAGGCGGAACCAAGACATCGAGGCAAGGTTCCTTGGCATTGAGAAACACGACTAGTGATAAACATTTTTGTGTCTCCTTGGGTCAGTTAGCTCTGGTGGCCATCTTGAATTGGGTTGGCTCCAAATGATAGTCAGTTGTAGGTGTTCACAAGGGGTTTTGCTAATGGAACCAAAGGACTGACTCCGACAGGCATAATGTCTGGTTGGATAGAGCATGCTAAGGATGAGTCATAGCTACTAACATACCAAATTTAATCTCAGAAGCTAACAATATAATAATATTAAATACATATTTTTAACTGAGCTATATACTTGTGTATTGTTTATTATAATTAAAACAACTTTTTAGTTTTATTTTATCAATAAGATAACATTAATGAAGAAATGACCTATAATTAGATCATCCACTAGATGATTGTAGCCTCCTGAGACCTGAGTTTGTGTTTAGTGTGAACATTTTATTTACCTAAAGTATTCTGTATCAAAGTTCAATAGTTTAAACATTAACACATATATGAAAATACATTAAAACAAGTAATTAAAAATAATTTTCCAATAAAACTCCAGTTCCCCTAAGAAGCCAATGTTGCCTTTAGGGGATGCATGGTCACAGGAGGATTGGACTGGATATCCTGATACTCCGTCTAGCTGCTTTAGCCCTTTGGGCCCTGGGCCTTTTTTCTTTGGGCCCTGGCA